GGCGCAACACCGAGGGTTGCGATCCCGTTGCCGGTCCCGGTCCGGTACGGGCGCAACACTGAGGGTTGCGATCCGTTGCCGGACACGAAAAAAAAGACAAAAAGGAAAAAAAAAAAAAAGGAAGTGTTTTTAAAAAGAAAGAAGAAAAAGAAGGGGGAAAAAAATAAGACAAAAAGAAGTGCTTTTATTTTAGCAACGGGACTTTTTCAGAACTGAAATTAATGAAGTATCTATCTTGCTTGTGCCCTAGGTGACATCCCTGGTTCAGTTACTCAGTGATCCCTTTTATAGGACACTTGAAGGCTTCCGGATGTTGGTTGAAAAAGAGTGGCTGTCTTTTGGTCATAAATTCAGTCAGCGGAGCAGCTTGACCCTCAACTGTCAGGGTAGTGGTTTTGCTCCAGTCTTCTTACAATTCTTAGACTGTGTACACCAGGTAAGTGGAGCAAGCTCATATTGACTTGATACAAAGGAAAGAAAAGAAAAGCTCTAACATTTATTGAGCATTCTCACGCTGTGCCACGTACCTCCCTGTCATAACTCTGATTAACTCAGCCATAGGACATGCTGAAATCTTACCAGTAGACTCCTGGGAATGGAGAAGAAAAAGAACCACTTGGTTTCTGAAACTAGGACAGCTGAGCTGACTATTGGGCTGGCCCCCAAGTGAGGTAGCCAGCACTCTAAATTACCATCTCCAAAGAGGAGGAGCAACTTCGGCTTATTGTCCAAAGTTTGGACTAGAATAGAATAGCAAAAATCTCTAGGTAATAGTAGGGCCTAAAATCCAGCACGTGGTCTGCCCAGCTTGGGAGGACCGTAGCTTGTGCCTGAGAACACAAGAAGTAGAGCCTAATCCCTAGAGAAATAATCAGGGCCCAGGCAGATAGGCCTAGGGGGTTGAGAACACTGGCTCGATTCTAACACTGGGTGACACTGGGTGACCTAATCGGGGCTAATCAAGAGGCCAGACAGAAGCCCAGATATCTAATCCAGTCAAACGCAGTGAAGGAGGAAAAGATGTGAGTGCTCTAGGCTCCGTCCTCCCTTCATCCCAGGCACATTAGATGACAGACCTCAAGACGGGGCTTTGGTCAGGACTGGGCATGAGAACTGGATTGCACTGGACTTGCAAGTCAAAGGCTAAATTGGCCTAGGAAAAGCAGGGTTGACATTTAAAGCTTTGTTTCATCTGTACCACAACCCCAGGGGTAGATGAACGAGTTCTGGCAGGTCAAATATATTTATGGGAACAGTGAGCCTCTTTGAAATGCATTGGCCTCAAGTGTCTATTGGAAGGAAAAAGGGAAGGAAATGTTTTCAGGAACCCAGATTGGAACTAGGTCTTCTGAAGAGGCCAAGTTGGTATGCAGTTATGTTTTGTTTTGTTTTTATTCTGTTAATCACTTGTTCAGCTTTATTAATTCACTGCACAGTTTTTTTAAATGACAGCTTTATTGAACTATAATTTATATTGCATACAGTTCACCTATTTAAAATATACAATTTTTGCTGTGGTAGATTCTGTCAAAAAAAAAAAAAAAAAGATACAGTATACAATTCAGTACTTTTTAAAGTATATTCAGAGTTGTGCAACAGTTACCACAATCAATCTTAGAACATTTTATCACCCCAAAAAGAAACTCCATACCCGTTAGCAGTGACTTTCCATTCCCCTACCCCCACCCCACACACTCACTCACACTGAGGCTATGTTTTTGACTGCTCCTGTTCCCTTGTTAAGGAAAAGACCTCTTAAATAATTTCAGTTGGTCTGTCCAGGCAGCATCTGGAGGGAGCTGGTCATAAGGTTGAACTTACTCTTTTAAACTCTTTGTAGTATGTTTGTTTTCGGTTTGAATATTAGCCTTTTAGGCAAATATGAGGAGTCTTCAAAAAGTTCATATGAATCCTTCTATCTTTTAATTTCATTTTTCCACAAAATGAAGTACCCTCATAGATGAGGGAGAAGTTTGGAGACCATTGTTTCTGAAACAGAAAGTTTAACTGAATCCAAAAGAGAGGAACAAGCATCTCTTCTCACTTCTGGATAGGTGAAAGCATATGAGTTCTTCATGAAAGCAATTCTTATTATCCTGTTTATTGTTGTTATGTGTACCAAATGCACTAGGCTACTTCCTGCCTCCATATACCACCACTGCTAACAATAATTACTAATGTACTGACTGCTTACTATGCTTTTTTTTATTTCATGATTCTAAGTAATTTTTTAACCTTTTCCTGACCCCCCCATTTGCATTTTTTTTTAAGTTTTTTATAATTTATTAATCCTCTTGTGAAAATTTTGCACGATCACCACAGATAAAGTCATTGCAGAACTTTACCCTGGCTTTTTGCCAGCACCAACATGGGCCTCTGCAGCCCCCTGACTTTCTTCATTCTGTTTTTGCATACCTTTTGCTGTTTTCTTGAGGTCTTTTTCTCCTCATACAGGCCTTGTCTTGCAAGTTTATGTTTGGGTTCATTTTTCTTTGCATAATCTAAGGAATCATAAATCCATGCCAAAGCCAGTTGTCTTGCCACCACCAAAATGAGTTCTGAATCCAAATACAAAAATGACATCTGGTGTGGTCTTGTACATTTTGGCTAGTTTTTCCCTAATTTCTGTCTTAGGTACCATTGCCTTCCCAGGGTGAAAAATATCAGTGACCATTTGTTTCTTCTGAAGTAGTCAGTTGGTCATGAACTTCCCAGTCCAGATGGTTACTGTGTCATTCATGATGGCAGCTGGTCCTCAGGAAGCCCCCTCATTTGTATTTTTAATGGGTCATGTACAGACTTCTTTGTACATCTGTAACATCTATAATACTAGAGTATATTTATTTGTATGTGTCTATTGCCCTCTACTTAGACTGAGAATTTTGGGGAATGTCATATTAGTCTTCATATCTCTGGTATCTAGCACAATTATAATTTCAGTGTCTGGAATATAAACAGCACTCAATAAATATGTATTATCAACAAATAAGTGAAAATTTGAATAGCCACAGTCTTGCTCAGGCTCTCACCACCGTTCATCAAGACCATGTAGAATATCCTAAGTAGAATTGCTACCATAATCTGAGAGCTCAAATACAATGCTTTGTTCCCTCTTGCAAAAATCTTCAGGGCAAAAAGCATTTGATAAAATCCAACACTCATTCATGACAAAGACCCTTTATAAAATAGGTAT